CCTTGTATGTGGTGTCTGAGGAGCGGCTGGTGAGCTTGAACTTCTGGCCTTGCAATTCAAACTGACTTTGCAGTCCAGTGCATTAACCCACAGCGCTACACCAGGACTCAGACTTAGTGATAAAGTTATATAAATATAGGTATAGATGTGAAGATAGCAAGACAATAGAAAGATATCTGGTACTATGGGTTAATGGCCCACAATTCTCATCTATTTTTTCTTTTCTAGTTCTGTATCTACTTCCATAGACCTATATCTACATCTCTGCATCCTCATCTCTTTATTGTTGTTGTTGTTAAGTGCCTTCAAGACAGTTCTGACCCTTAGCGACCCTGTATAGGGTTTCTGAGGAGCAACTGGAAACCACCATGAGCTTGAACCACGCTTGAACCACCGAACTTGTGGTTCAAATTGACCTTGCTTTCCAGTGCATTAACAGCGCCACAGTTGTCGAGCACAAATCCTTTGCGTTACCTAGGGTGGTAGAAGAAAGGGACTTCATTGTATTTATAATCTCCCATTTATTTTCTGTGCATAAAAATCTCTGAATAAACATATAAATGAGAGAATAAGAGTTGAGGTATGGAGGGAAGTGTTTAAGTCAGCAATCTTTTTTCTTTTCCTCTTAAATTATTTGTGCCTTGAAGAAAAATCCTATAGGTGATATTATGGTTGAAGACTTTTATACCGCTCAGATTGAGAAAACTATATTCTCATAAAAGAGAACCAACTCATATTTCAGAAGGATAATAGTCATAAATAAGACTCCGGAAATAGCTAGCGGTTCACCTCCTCTTTCTCCCTGCTGACTTCTGACTGCTGTGTTTCTGTTGGCAGGCAGTGGGCTGTGACCGGCAACTGGGAAGTAATGCCAAGGAAGACAACTGTGGTGTGTGTGCTGGTGATGGCTCCACCTGCAGGCTTGTGCGGGGACAATCCAAGTCACACGTTTCTCCAGAGAAAAGTAGGTTGTAAACCCAATACTCTGCTACCATCAAACAATATATGTCCTAGATGGTCTGTGAGGAGGATAGTTTCCCAAGACTAATCTGTTCAGTTGGAAGGACCTTTGATAGTTTTCTAAAAGTCATTTCCTACAAAAGTATGCATGAGATTTTTGTACCTCTGTAGAAGACTACCTGTTTCTTTGAATTTTTGCCATTTCAGGGTACTGCTGTTTTAAAGTACTTACCAGTTTGTTAAATATGCCATGAAATAATAATTTCTTTAATTTGCCTTCCTTTGATTTCTAACAAGATAGAAAACATTGTCAGATGTTTATTGGTCATTTACAATTTTCAAGAAGAATTGATGCCTTTGAATTGGTATTGGAGGAGAATACTGAAAGTGCCATGGGCTGCCAAAAGAACCAATAGATCTGTTTTGGAAGAAGTGCAACCAGAGTGCTCCTTGGAGGCCAAGATGGCTAAGCTTCATCTCTCATACTTTGGACATATTGTCTGGAGAGAACAGTTGCTGGAGAAGGATGTCATGCTGGGTAAGGTGGAGGGTCAGAGAAAAAGAGGAAGACCCCCAACGAGATGGATCAGCCAGGTGACATCATTGATGGCGTCAATTGTGGCGGCGGTAGTGAGGTTGGCCCAGGATTGGACATTGTTTCGTTCCGCTGTGCATGGGGTCGCTATGAGTCGGTTCCGACTTGATGGCACCTGACAACAACAACATTGAAGTCATTTACCCGTTTTCCTCTTTGGAGCTAGACCTTTCCCTCATGGATTGTGAGTCTTCAACATACAAAGAATGTTGACTTTTGTCTGTCATACCTGTTGGAGACTTTGCCTGTTGGCCATTTGAGTCTCAGTTTTGTTTGAGTGTTTTGAATTGATAGTGTTTAAGTTTCATGATTTCAGATATTTCTGTGTTTTCATTTTCATAATTTCTGCTTTATTCAAAATCTTTTAACTTTTTCTGTAAAGGGCCAGATAGTAAATATGTTGATCTCTTACCCAGCTACTCAGCACTACCTAAGTCACACAAAAGCAGCCACAGTTAATATGCAAACCAATGGGTATAGCTGTATTCCAATAAAACTTTATTTACAGAAATAAACAACACACTAAATTTGGTCTTAGATTATAATTTGCTGACCTCTTTTGTAAAGGGAAAAAAAATATATTCACCTGTGTTTTCTACCAGTCCTTATTTTCCTATTTTGAAATCATTCACTGATTGCTTTTACTTTGATGTGATTTATGAAGTAGTGGTCTTTTTCTCAGTAGGACAATGTAGGATGGGTGGAGACGGTTTTCCAAGCAGAGGAAACACAACATTCAAAGGCCTTTTGGAGGAAATACTAGTATGTTTCTCATCCTACTATTACTCAGTCCTGAATGACTATTCGATATGATCGAAAAGGCAGAATGGCATTTAGGTGCTAACCATAAAGGTATTCGTTGTTTTGCTTTACATTTCAGGTTAAATGGAATCATTAAAGTGGTCCAGCCAGTGGAGTAACTTGATTAGATTTGTGCTTTAGTAACGTTATTCTGGTTGCATGTGAAGGCTAGATAACCTATATGTTGAGCCTGGAAAGAGGAATTCCAGTTAGCAATGTTTTGTTGTATTACTCTGCTAGGTTTGGGGTGAAAAAGCCTGTCTACAGTAGCATGGCAGGAGATGAACACAAGAAATAGGTTGGAAGAATCAACAGAGTTTGGTAACTTTTTGAGAGAAGATCATAAGATTAAAGAAGAGTCTTGTTTTGTTTGTGAAGTGCCGTCAAGTTGGTTTCAACTCATAGCAACCTTGTATAGGGTTTCCAAGGAGCAGCTGATGGGTTTGAACCACTGGCCTTGCGGTTAGTTCAGTACTTATCCTACAGTGCCACACCAGGACTCTAGGATGATGCAAATTTACCAGCTTAAGCAACTAGATGGAAATGTTTGCTGTTATTTTGGATAGGGAATTCATGAAGAGGGACCAAAGGTAAGAACTCTCTGAATTTTCCTATTCCCTGAAATTTTGGCCTTATAATTACTCAGTTCCTTGATGACTTACAGTCCCTTCAAATAGACCATTGATGGCATCTTCGTTGTATTTGAAGGGTTGGTCTGAAATACACCAGTCCATCGTTGCTGGTAGCAGAACCCTCTATTGGTGATATTTGGTTGCGCGCATGAAAGAGAGTATGTAGACTGTATTAGAAGGGTAGACACTGCATCCTGAAGGTCACCTGAAATCAAGGCAGTAAGCCAAGGAAGAAGTTCAAGATAGGACAACTGAGAAGGAATGAAAGCCGTAGGTAGGTAAAGCAGAACTTGATACAACAGGTATTATAAAAGTCAAAGAAGTGCGTAATTTCAAACACAAGGTAATGAACAGTAAATGTTGCTGTGAGGTCAACTGCAATATGAGGGCCAGTGGTTTCTCCTTGGTAATTTGAAGATCATTATGACCTTAGCAAGAAAGGTTTCAATGATTTTCAGGCTGCAACTGATGCATGGTTGCAAGGGGTTGATGAATGAACAGAAGGTGAAAATGTATATAGAGAAGGATTTGCCCAGGATCAGAAGGATATACACCAACACCATGCCAAGAATTGGATACCAGGATAACAAATACAGTTAGGGAAGATGTTGAGATCTTAAATGTATTCCAGCCTGTTGACTTTGGTTGGCTTTGTTCGTTATGAGGTGGAGTTGGCTGTGAAAAGTGAAGCTCCTCATAGACTTGAGAAGGGTGGTCACTGAGGAAAGGGGAAGGAACTCATTAAGGACAGTGAAAGGATAGGGGGGTAGCTGTAAGGGACTAGCTGAGATAGGAGCCTGTGAATTCATGGGCATTCCAATCGCTGGACTTCATGAAGAAGGTGACTTTGAATGATGGTGTATTCATGAGAAACGTGTTCTATTGTAAATCATAGAAAACCCAACTTATAAAAGTTTATATGTATTTTCTCCCAGGAAGTCTGGAATAAGCAGGCAAAGGCTGGGAAGCTATACTTCTGTGTCCTTAAGAACCAGGATCGTCTGTCTGTCTTCTTCAGTCCTTAGAGTGTGGCTTTCAACTCTATGATTACATATCACTATTGGACATTCAGACATCACACCCACAACTCAGGCAATGAAGACGACAGTGCAAAAGACAGTGTTTTATCCTGTGCTCTTTATTCAGGAAGGGAAACCATCCCCAAGGAATTTTGCTTCATTGACTAGAATTGTGGCACTTTTCACCCTAGCTTCTAAGGAAGCAAGGAAACCAACTATTTAGGGTTCCATCCATTCTGTTATTACTAATATCGATAAACTGCTTTGTTATTTCAAAGTTCTCTTCAGCTATATTTCATCATTTCACTTCACCAGTAACTTATGCTGTATAATTTTGTTATTGTCCAACCCATCTTACAGATGTAGAAAATAAAGACTAGAAATGTTAAAAGACATCGTTCATAATTGATTATGAAAGGCAGTATAGGGATGTGGTTAAGAAATTAAGGTTTGGGACCAGATTGCCTGAATTTAAATCCTGGGTCTACTACTTTCTAAGTATGTAAGCAGGGCAGGTTACATAACTTACATGTGTATCTTGACTTTCTTATTTTTAACTGAAAACAATAATAGAACTCCCTTTGTAGAGTTGTTTTGAGGATTAAATAACTCAACCCAAGCCCAAATAGTGTCTGGCACTCAGGGAGTGCTTTGTCATAACCAGAAGAAAGATTACTTATTTGGATGCCTACAGATGTCATACCTCTTACATACCTGAAATGTGAATGTGGATCTTTGTATGAAGATTTTAAAATCAACATTTGGATCAATCAGAGGATTGTTTTTAAGAGAGCAACTGAAGTGTATGGAGGAAAATCTTGAACATATCAAATCTGAGATAATTCTCCTACTGCCGGTGAGTCGATCCAACTCATAATTACCCTATAGAACGGAGTATAGGTTTCTGAGACTGTAAATCTTGATGGAAGCCAACAGCCTTGCTTCCAAGGAGCAGCTGGCGAGTTTGAATCGTTGACCTTATGGTAAAGCTCAACCTGTAATTTGTGTGCCACCAGGGCTCCTAGAGTGAATCCTAGGAAAAGCCAAAGTTAGAGGAAAGACTCAGACAGTGTGAAGAGGCAGGCTCAACTGTTAAGAGTTAATTCAGGAAGGTTTTTGGACGAGTTTACTGAGGAGGAAAAAATAACTAGCTCAGGGTGTTGGGTAGGTACCTGGAGTTAGAATTGGCCTTCAACAGTTCGGAAGTCTCATCAGAAAAGACCTTGTTTTGTTAGCATCCAAGAGAGATTAGCAGTGGAGATAATTCTAATTGAACATGCATAGAAGCCCAGTGAAAGTGTGTCAAGAGTCAGGTCTGTATGGAGCAGGGTATAGAGGAAGCTCTGAAGTAGGAAGGCATAGTATGGGCTCTTGTGTGACTGAAAAGGCCCTAACTCTTTGTACTTGATAATTTGTTACTCTTGGGTAAGGCAGTTCATAGTGTCTCTCTCGTTCCCTCTCTCTCGCTTGCTTTGTTTATCCAATTTAGATTGTAGATCATTTGGAGACTTTGCTGAAATCTATGCATTTTCTCTCCAGGAAAAATCACACAGACACATAAACCGCCATTTTGTTTTTTTGTGGAAGTGGAGCCCTTCCATAGGGTCCTGATGTCAGTTCAGGACCTCCACGTTAAGAACCCCTAAAATGTCTAATTTTTAAAATTTATTTCTACAAAGAGAGAGACACCGAAGGCACAGAAAACAGGGAGCAGGGAGGTAAGAAAGCCCAGGACACCCACAGGATACTGATATCAGCTTCTGTATGTCTGGATTTGGACTAAGGCTAAAGTAAGTGAGATTCATGCCTCCATGAACACATGACACTCCTCGGTCTTGATTTTCATTAGGGCCCCTTCATGTCTCTTACTGCTCTGAAGTTGGCCAGCTGAAAGCTAGTTTTGGCTGGACTTTTCCATAGGCCATATGGAAGCACTTCCATATAATCAGGCTTTGTG